CTCTCCCTCTCTCCCTCTCTCTCTCTCTCTTCCTCTCTCTCTCTCTCTCTCTCTCTCTCTCGCGCGCGCGCAAGCGCGGATCAACGTGTCTTTCATTCTGCAGTAATAGAACTATAGGAAGATCCATTTGAAAAGTCACGTGTCCAAATAAAAGCTATATAAAAGCGTAATAAAAAACACAATGCGCTGCTATCTTAATTTCTCCATCAGAATAATGAGACATCCTGTGCTTTCGTTGTTATTCTGCGAAACTTATATTACATACGCATATATTATCTACAACTAATTAATGATAAAAGAGATATAATTGATGTAAATAAGATATGTGAACAAACGTAATCATTAATTTGATCGCGGCGACAAAAATGACACAAATATTATACAAATAATATAGAAAACGCGTGCGCGTCTCCTGCACGACGAAATTTTCGCGATCCGGAAATGATAAACTCGGGGTAAACAGCAATTATGGTTATGAAGCGTGAAAAATTAATGAAACACAGAAACCAATTAACAGCGCGAAGCCAATGCGTTAGGATCAATTCGGTTTTCTCATAGGTCACGGTAATTATTCAATACACCATTTGCCGCGTTACATCATTCAGCGAGTATCATCATTAACTTAATTATTTGCACAGGCTACGCCGATAAACACGCGCAATTTTCAACGGAGCGTTTTTGAAATGAGGAATATATTGTCTCGTCTCTCTCTCTCTCTCTCTTTCTGCAGAATGGAAGATGCTCGTTTTTTTTCTACGAAATGTGCGAAAGTTCAATCGCGTCGTCGTCTCGCGCGTGAGTTTTTCCGTGGGTGGCATTGTTTATTCTCGACGTTTTCTTTCCCTTTTTTTCTAAATAAACTGTTAAGTATATATCACAATAATTCTTGTTATTTCTTGCGTTACAAATTCAAACAAACAAAACTTGCTACCAAAAGCTTGCATTTTGCGACTTATATCTTTTATTTTTGAGTATATTTTGCAATCTTTCTTTTTTGTCCTTTAAAAACAATCGTTTAATTCGTTTCAATTATAGAAAAGATAGAAAAATACTTGTTGTTATAATTTTAATGCATATTTACAAATTTGTCGCGCGCTAAATATAAACGATATAGCTACTAATTAAGTTGAATGGAGTAAACACAGATCACACTCGAGAACGAACGATACATATTTAATTTCTTCTTGCGTCACATCAATATATTGGCCAATACCACTCACTTCCGGTATCATTCACAGGGTTATTCCGCGACTTCAAACTTTTCTTTGGCGAGAAAAGTGTGTCTTTCTTGAATTTCCGCGAGGTTGATTATCATTTTATCGAGATATTAATTGAATATTAATTGAAGGTTGGTCGCCAGTGAAATGACCAGTGAACAACCCTGCCGATGACAAGTGGACGTTTCACCCACTCGCGAGCGATCGTGTCCTTGTCAAATCGGATCAGTTTTTTATTGTCGAGTAATTTGCCGCGTGTAATTTACACTTACATTTCTCTTTCTTCATACATACGCACATACACACATACACTCCTTTCTCTTGCTCTCTCAATTTTGTCATTCTATGTTTTTCTCTGTCTCTCTCTCTCTTTCACTCAAACTCTCACACCTTGATCTCTCTTCCGATTCGCATTATTTAGTTTCGAATTTAGAGTGTGGCTGCTCGGTAGTGACGAGGTTACCCGCAAGAATCGCGAGCGCTGCATCTCGCGAACATAAATCTACCCCTTAACTGCACACATCCCCATTATATCATCTGTTGTATATCGCCATTTGTTATTTACGTAATTTAAAGAGAATTTAATATAAAATATTCACATTTTCATAGTTATCCTTTTTGACAAAGAAAATCAATTCCGTAAAATTAATTTTATTTATCTTATTTTATACAATTCTTATAAACTGACAAACATGATAGATTGAAGAATGTTGAAATCAGTTGAGGGGTTAAAAAGTTGATCGTTGCTGATTCAATTTGGAATATAATGTTCCTATTATCCTCGAAACACACAGAGCTCCTCCATCATCCTTTTTTTCCTTTCTTCCCCTTTCTCGTTTCGTTATTCTTTTTTTTTTTTTTTTT